GTCTTCCTGTGTGAAGCGCCAGACCCATTCACACTATGAAACGATGATGATGATGTATGTTCAGGGCTGCATTACAACATTGATTGTTCGGATCATTGGTATCTAAGTCTTCCGCTGTGCTATCGTATACTTTGTATTGAAAGGTCGGTTCTTGTTCTGGTCTGCACTTATACGGTATGCAACAATGACTGACGGGCCACTGGGTGCACCTGGTGTGATGTTGGCATGTGTCTACCTAACCAGACTGTACCAGGTTACGAAGACTGTTGGGGATAGAGTGGGAAGCAAGCTTCTGGAGGCAAATGCTTGGCATCACAGGAGCGATGCTGTATCATCTCTCGTTGCACTGGTGGGCGTGGGTGAGGGACATGAACGACCACCTCCCTGTTTAAACTTTAAAGCTTTCTTTTTTTCGTTTTCCTTTCATTTTGAGCGTTTCTCAATTTGTATGTGTCCATCCTTCCACAAGGGCAATGTTAATCTCCTTTTCTCTATTCTTCCAACACTAGTGGATGTTTTATGTTGTCTGTTTCGTTCCTTTTTCTGTCTCTTCTTCTTCTTTTTTTCTTTCCACATAGTTTAGTTTCATTTCGTTTTGTTTCGTTTCGTTTTGTTCATTTCATACAGTTTCAGTCGCATTGGCTTGCTCTTTTCTGTTTCTGTTTCTGTCTGTTTCCACTTCTGTTTCTGTTTCTGTTTCTGTTTCTGTTTCTGTTTCTGTTTCTGTTTCTGTTTCTGTCTGTTTCCCCTTCTGTTTCTGTTTCTGTTTCTGTTTCTGTCTGTTTCCACTTCTGTTCCTGTTTCCGCTTCTGTTTGTGTTTCTTTGTCTGATCTTGGTTCGTGGCCTTTTTTTTTTTCTTTTTTTTTTTTGTGATCTTGGTTCGTCCACGTTTTTTGTCTTTGAGTTAGGAGATGCTGCTGTGGATTCCCACATGCTAGCTAGCATCGTCGTCGTCCTAGCGTCCATGTTTGCCAATTGGGTTTGGCGACTTTATTGCGTGAGAAAAGAGAACCCAAGAGAAGTGGCGCAGTGAAGATGTGCCAGACACACAGACACACACACACACACACACACACACACACACACACACACACACACACACA